GTAAAAGGTGGAATATAAAATTTTTGGTTATTTTATTTTCTAATATTATAATTTGAAGAATTTTTCTTTAATAATTTTAATTATAATATAAAATTAAATCAATAAAATAATTTAGTTTTAGTTACAAAATTCAACATATACAACAAATATTTAATAAACAAACAAAATATTAAAAAAATAAAATAAAGGACCCAAGATTGAAATAATTTAAAAATAAAAATATTAAAATACTTATTTACTTTTTTATTAATATATAATTTTTTCCTTTACTTTTAATTTATTTATTTACAAAATATATCATTAACCATTAACTATAAATAATATATTTTAAAAATAATTATAAATAGTACATTTTATTATTAGTAATTAGCTGTCAATAATAATAAATATATATAAAAATTAATCTTAATTATTTTTTAAAATAATTATACTTAAAATATTTTACGTGAAATTATATAAAATTTAAGTTACCTTATAATTAAAAAAAAATTATACGTGCATTGCACGTGATAATACACTAGTATTATTAAACTATGTAATTTATTTAATAAATTAGATGAACTTCCATATTCTGTGTTGGACCTTAAATTTTTATTGGTATGAAAAAAATACTTAACTTTAGTAAAAGTGTAGCATAAGTATAAAAGTTTTTTTCCCTTGAGTTCAAATAAGTATAAATATATATTCAAAGTTTCACGGACAAATATCTCATTAATTTAATTTATTCTTTTTAACAATTTCTCCAAATCTGGTCCACCAAAAAGGCCTCAGTTTCTTTCTTGTTATTTGCCTACTTTTCTGGCTACTTTACTAAGTTATATATATTTGTCTTGATGACTTTTTCATGCCCATTATTCTAATCAAAGTATCAGCTAAACTTGTGAATATTATTTGGCTCTTAGGCAATTATTTATAAAATTAAATATATATCCTTAAGATTGGAAAAAAATGGAATTAACAAATTAAGCAATATTTGAGTTTTTGGCCTTTGGCGTCTTAAGCAATCAAATAAAACACCAATTTAAATATATATTTCAATGAAGTGGAAGATCCATAGTGTAAATTAAGTTAAAAATATACCACATTTTTATAATGGTTAGCTTTCATTACTTTGTTCACTCAACTATTGAATATTTTATGAAATTATATATCTACCCATTAATTATGGATGGTTATTTACGAAAAATAAGAACAAATTAATCGTTACCAACTTAAAAATTGTTTTGTTGGTTAGATGGCTATTATGATCATCTACTTATAAATTAATAATTATAAGAAAAAAGAAAAAAAAAATCAACATTCTACTTCCAAAGAAATTGATTTTCTTGTTTTACTTTTATTCGGTTGGAAAATATGAAATGTCCACCGTGTTAATATAAAGCTAGAGCGAAATTTTCTCTCTTTGGTTTTGTCAAACCGTGTAGGAGATTCCACCGCCGCCGTTCACCGCCGCCACCGCAACTCTGGTGCTGATACGAGGTCCGAGGCCTGCAATCCGACGGAATCTTCGTTCCCTTCACCGTCTGCCTCTTCTCCCCCTCTTGGGGATGCCGATCAAGAGGCCGCCCTACGACCGCCTGAACCATCGTCCTCACCATCTTTGTCTCCGACGGCGCCGGTAGTTCCAGAAATTATAATGTCCTTCAGGGATCCTAACGCCCTCTTCAGTGGCGGCGGTATCAGGTCTTTGACTCTTTTCATTTCATCTAACAATTGCCACGACTCTTCATCATGTTTGTATAAATTTAATCGGCGCCGTTGCTTTTTTCTGTAAATCTCTCTATTGTAACTTTTTTTCCCGCCCCTGTTTATTTAACTTAGCTTTCAATTAAGGATAATTTGTGGGGTTGGACCATTGGATTGGTCTGTTCAAACTCCTTTCAAGATGTACTGTATTGACGATTCCCGTGACATTCCTTTTCTGGATGGAGACACTGAGTTGTAGATTTTTATTTTCGTTTTTTGAAATTTACCTTGTCTAAGAGGGAGAGGTTTTTCACACTGGATTTATGAAGCCTTTAGCCAAATTATTCTCTTGGCGTTGGATAAAATAGCATTTAAATCAAACTTGCGAATAATTTATTTCACCAGTTTTCCGTGGGGTAGGCTTTGCTGTTAAGAGTGGTCCAGATTACCTGGCCATTTCATGGATGGTGGACCTGAGTTTTTGGTTTAACTTCCTGCTTTCACAATTAGATTCCTTTCAACTCTGTTTTATTAGTACTTGAAGCAATCAATGTGCAGTGGCTTAGTTCCTAAAGGGGGCCATAGGGCCGATCATCTTCTGGGGTGGGTTTTTTACTTGCCCTCATGGATGAATCTATCAGCCATTCGTCATTTTAATTTCTTTAAGAACTTAATCATCTTTAATTCTATGTTTTTAATGGTTGGCTAGTGAGGAAAATCTAGATGTATGATATTGGATTCAGTTATTGCCTTTTATAATCAGAGTTCAAATCTTGCGCCCATGATCCTTACAATTTATCTTGGATGTTTTATTACAATGTGTAATTTTGGAACCAGTGACACTTGCACATCTAATCACATTCTCTTCTGTACTTCTAGTTTTCTTTCCCGGAATCAGACTGGAAAATTCAGCTATGCCTATTCTAGTTTTAAGGGTAAAAGGGCTTCGATGGAGGACTTCTATGAGACAAGGATTTCTGAAGTTGATGGGCAGATGGTCGCTTTTTTTGGTGTTTTTGATGGTAGGGCCTGGTATCGGTTTGCAATTTAATATCATTATACTTGTGAGATTGAATCAAACATGGTTCACATTGGTTTTTATTACTTTATTTATTTGAATTGTTTCTTTATTTAAGATACTATTTTACAGCATTTAAATTTATGCAATTCATTAAGAACTTTTCTTACAACATCTTGAGTTGTCTAGTGTAATGCATAAACGCTTGTTATTTCCCACATTTTCATGGATACTGTGATGTTACATAGGTCATGGAGGTTCCAGAACAGCTGAATACCTTAAGCGCCATCTTTTCAAGAATCTAAGTAGCCATCCAGACTTTATCAAAGACACAAAGACTGCAATTAGTAAGAAGATATAACGTATTCGGGTATATGATTTCATATTTTCTTTTTGCCTTTGCCAGTGAAGCATAAACTGGGGAAAATACTTATTTTGCAGTTGAGGTTTTTAGACAGACAGATGCCGATTATATTAATGAAGAGAAAGGGCAAAAGAAAGATGCTGGTTCAACTGCATCAACTGCTGTTCTGTTAGGGGACCGCCTCCTTGTTGCAAATGTTGGGGATTCCAGAGTCGTTGCTTCTAGAGCTGGTTCAGGTTGCATATTTTTTTCTGTCAAAATAGGAAGTACTGGAAAATCTACTTAATTTGAATAAAAAATTAAAATGGCAGATCCAGAATTTGTGGTTCATCATTGTAACAAGTTGAAAATGAAGGTTTATTGGAATCAATGGATATGTTGAACTTTCTTGGACTCTTAAGTAGTCGGATACAATTGTCATTTGTTGCAGCTATTCCCCTCTCTATTGATCACAAACCTGATAGATCAGATGAACGGCAAAGGATTGAACAAGCTGGAGGTTTCGTTATTTGGGCAGGTAAAGCACACTAACCTTTTGGATCACAGTCTTGCACCTGACTCAATTGTTTAACTTTGTTTAAATGATACGGTATACATTCCAATGAAATCACAATGAAATCACAATGAAAAGAGTTTGTCTCAGTATGCTTTTTTTTTAATATATAAATAACAGAACTACACCATCTACATTTATGAACTTGGATAGGAGCTTTTCTTTTCGCGTTCATTTTAAATGTCAATCCTGCTAGTATCATTATGGACATAAACAATTTTTGTTCATCAGTGTTTCCACCTTCATGCACAATTATTATTTCCATCTTAACATCTGAGTTCGAAATGGAACTTCTAATCTGTTGCAAAACTTAATCCAGGAACTTGGAGGGTTGGTGGTATTCTAGCAGTTTCGCGTGCCTTTGGAGATAAGCTACTCAAACGATACGTTGTTGCTGATCCCGAAATTAAGGTTTGGAAGCTATCTTTTATAATAGGAACTTATAGTATAAATCTATTTGGTCTAGCACGCACGAGTCATTTGCTCAAGTCTTCTTTGAATTTGCATATTCTCTCCCAACAAATGTAAATGAAATTTATCCAAACGATTTCAAGAAGTGCTATGACGCTAACCATCATAGTGTGACCTGGTGGTTAGTAAGGCCTAATGTAAATAGCAAATGGCTCATGGGGAATAGGTTCAAATCATGGTGACCACCTACTTAGGATTTAATATCCCACGAGTTACCTACGCAACCAAATGTAATAGGGTCTGACGGTCGTCTCCTGAGATTAGTCGAGATACGCGTAAGCTAGTCCGGACACTCACGGATATAAAAAAAAAAAAGTTCTAAGACCCTTGAATTTAACTAAGTGATTCAAAATCTGTAGTGGTATAATCACAGTAGTTAAAGTCATATGCTTTGAGCTTTATATCCTTGGGCAACCATATTTGAGAACAGCATATGTAATTCGCAGTTAACGATTTATCATTGCAATCTTTAAATTGCAAACCATTTATAGATATGTTTATTTTTCTGTATATTTACCTGTTTCCGTATGCTCTTATAATTGCTACTGGAAATTCCGGAAGAGAGCTTTGCTTTTACTATTTTTACACATCTCCTTTACACTGATTTTCACTCATTTTAATAGGAAGAAGAAATTGATGGTGTAGATTTTATCATTATTGCGAGCGATGGACTTTGGAATGTCATATCAAATGAGGTGATTTTCATTTTAAATTACTTCAACTTTCTCTGTCTTGTGCTATTATAGAATTTAACTATTCATTTTCTTAAATTTTTCAATAAGGAAGATATCTTCTAACTTTGACCTATTAATGTGTGATAACACTTAGTGGAGACATTAAAAAGAATGACTATCTGAGAATGATTCTCTGGAGCCAGAAGGATGGCCTCTCTTTATTATGGACCAATTGACTAAAAGGCGAGACTGAGATAATTGTCATGCACCCTTCTTCTTTATCATACAACAACCCGGAAATTAACTTACTATTCCACAACGAACTGAAAAAGGGGAAAAAGGATTAAAAAAAAATTACAACACTCTGTTATCATTCTTTAATTGGAAAGTACTGCTTAAACTGTATAAGCAAATCAATATGATGGTCGAGATGGATAAGATTTCCATGAATTTTCCCTTTCCCAAGTCTGGAGTATTAGCAGTAGAGTTGGACTACGATTTTCTAGTTTCGGCATTTTCTTTGATGAACCAAAATTGAAGCCTTGCTCCTCTATACCGAGTGCATCTGTGCCCGCCCCAAGGCACGGACGTAGTTTTGGGATTTACTAAAGTTATAAAAAATTCTAAACGTTTTTTTTTCTTTAATATAAATATTGGTATAATGACTACTTTTCTGGGGTTCGTTGTTGTTTGTGCAAACTGTTCTAAACAACATAAACACTCAAAGATTGGAGGCGAAATAAAGGAGTTCCTCTAGCTTATTCTCCCCTCTTTTGGCAATTTATTGTTAATGAACTACAGGGATCTACTCACACAAATCTCATGTTAAAAACTGTATAACTCCGTAAGTTTCTTCTCTGTTTTGTGGTTTGCAGGAAGCTGTAGCATTAGTGCAACACATCCAAGATGCAGAAGCGGCATCAAGAAAACTAATCCAAGAAGCTTATTCACGAGGGAGTTCCGACAACATTACATGCGTCATTGTACGATTCGGATTATCATAACTCGATACGATCCGATCCCGAGGTAATCCTTTTTGGTCCTTCCTGCTTTTATTCTTGTTATCCATCAGTCATAACAATTAAGTCCCCTTGCAGGGTATTGGAGACTTTGTACGAAGTAGCAAATGACAGTTCTTTCCCACTGGAATGTCATGACTAACTACAGTTAGTGGTCTTATGTATTATGACATTATGACAAGTTCCGACTCTTGCTGCATACTTATTTTATGTATGTGTTGGTTTCATCCAAGTACTGATGTTTATTTCTATTTATTAATCTTAATAGTCTCTACTATTAATATGTGGTGTTATAATGAAAATTGATGTAGTGTTGGTGCCATTCATGGTAAGCCCATTCAAATAAAAAGGACAATGTGTAAACTTTTAAGTACATAATCGAAACTTCTTTTTTCGATTGATAATATTTAGGTGCTTAACTTCTTTTTTTCAATTGATAATATTTAGGTACTTATTGGTAGAAGTGTCGATCACCAATAAAAATTTTAAAGTTTCTTTTAGTTTCTTGGATAACATACTTTTTTCTTTTTATACATTTTTTCTCTCCTATTTATCAGAAAATTAATATTAGTCCGTGCTTACCGATAATTATTTAATAGTTTTTTTTAATTTAAACTTGGTCACGGAGAGGATAACGTACTAATCTTTTATATTAAAGAGATTCATAGCATAATTTATTTATTTAAATATCATGGTAACAAAAAAAAAAGTTCTCATTTATTTTAAACAATACTATATTGAACATTTCTATAATAACTACACATTAATCATTAAAGTTGCCTCTTTTACAACTCCGTTGTCCTAATTAATCATTACGGGAGAGGGATGATTGGCCCATACGAGGTACTGTGTAGGGTTCCATGAATAATTTTTACATTAAATTTTCTTGTGAAAAAAGTTATTTTGCGTACTTAAGCTACTAGGTCGTCAATTGGTTCTATGGTGTAGTGGTTAGCACTCTGGACTTTGAATCCAGCGACCTGGGTTCGACTCCCGGTAGGACCTGTTTTTTAAATTTAAAAAATGGTACTTTTTTCCATTTCCATAGTTGAAAGGCCCAGTAGGAGAAGGTAATGAGAGAGCCCAAGCCCAGCAGCAGCTCGATGGGGCCCATAAAAACGGGCCCAAACAGGCAGACGAGTACACGTGGCCATAGAACAGGCTCTGACTCTGAGGTCGCAGAAAAGTAAAAGGGGGAAGAAAAAGAAAAAGATACAGTACTTTGCGAATGCATCATAAGCGCCACCTTGTTGACAGTTAAAAAAATACTGTTTGCTCCCGCGAAAAAGCAGTTTCTTCCATTAGTTTATTTGTGAAGAACTGGAAAGGCACGAGAAGCTAGTGGGCAGTGGGGCGGGCGAGGCCTCCTTCCGAAATGGCCCTATTTCTCTCTCCTACTTTTCCCCATTTTCCTCTCACTTCTCTCCTCTCATCTTTCTACTCCCAGTTCTTCCACTCCTTGGGGATCAGGCTGCTGCTGCTGCTGCAGATCCGTGACCTAGGTCCGAACCATAATGGTGAAGGAAACTGAGTATTATGACATTCTTGGTGTTCGTCCTTCCGCTTCGGAGGAGGAGATTCGTAAGGCCTATTATCTTAAGGTTAGCTTTGTGAGACTGGACTGGAGGTTTGATTGATTTATTTGAAGAATTTTGAGTTTCGTTATCTTCTTTTGCAATAAGTAGTTAGTCGTTCATTGATCCGCGTTGATGCAAATTAGAATTGATTTACGATCACTGAGAATAGACTGGAAAATTAATCTGGTGTACAAGTGATCAATTGTTCTGGTACAGGCAAAACTAGTCCATCCGGATAAGAATTTGAATGATCCTCTAGCTGCTGAAAGGTTCCAGGCAAGTGCACTGCTTCATGGTCTTCTTTACATAATGCGGAACTTCTCCGAATGGCTTAAGTTATCTATGGTATTACTGTTGATCATATGAAATATTTTACTTTTTTCCAGGCGTTAGGTGAAGCTTATCAAGTTCTGAGTGATGCGGTCCAGAGAGATGCATATGATAGGAATGGAAAGCACAGCATTACTAGGTTAGATCTCCTTGTAGAGAAACATTTGGAATTTGGATATATGGTTTTCTTTATCTATGTTGATTCATTTTCTACTGAATTAATTTCTCTATTGACTGTATCTTGCTATTCTTTTTCTTGACATTATTTGATTTATGTTTAGGGAATCCATGCTTGACCCTACGGCTGTTTTTGCTCTTCTATTTGGAAGTGAATTATTTGAGGACTACATTGGACATTTAGCTGTAGCATCAATGGCATCATCTGAATTAGACAGTGAAACTGGTAATCCAGAGCGAATACATGATAAATTGAAGGTAAGTATGTCTAAGGATGTTTACCATAAGTGAATATCCTTATATATTGCGTTATGAGAATTCCGGTGGTTTCTCATCAGTAATTCAGATTGTCCAATTTCTGCCTACTCACAGTACAGATTATTGTGGAACAAACCAAGATAACCTTAAATAAGAAAGTTTCCATTTCAGGGCATACAAATAATTGTGAAATCACTGTTATATATAGTCAACTTCAAGCTTTTTCTATAAGCCTATAACAGTTTAGTTGGTAGCCAATCCTTCTCTCAATAACTTCTCCTACATCTATTAGCAAACTTAGATAAGAAAATATTCTGTTCCTTTTCTTTCTTTTTTTTTTTTTAAATTATTATTATTATTATTTTTTTGCTCCCAAGCATTCTATTTCCTTTTCTATTCCTTTTTTGGGTAAAACTCTCAGGTACATAAATCTATCTTCTTACCTTTTCTTTTTCCTCTTACATCTCCTGTTTACCTTTTCAAATTTTAATAGTTTCCAACGTCTTCGAGAAACTCTGGTTTTAGATTTCCTCATTAACAGCAGCTAACGTTACAATCTTCCAATCTCCAATGGGAATGCATACTTATAGAATGTGACCTTTTACTCAAAGATAGTTCATTTTCTCTAAATCATCTATGCATCCCTAATATGCAACGTGTTTAATGTAGGCTGTCCAGAAAGAAAGAGAGGAAAAACTTGCACGTGTACTCAAAGGCTTTCTTAATCAATATGTTCAAGGCGATAAAGAAGGATTCTTACGGCATGCTGAATCCGAAGCCAAAAGACTTTCTAATGCGGGTAATAACAACTATGAATTTGATATTGCAATTACTTTCTTCCTTTCCCATATTTTTCCTTCCAGATTTCGTTAATTACTAAATTTGACTATTTCTTGTTGCAAGATTTGTGAATTCTTGTGTTTGTATAAGCAAGAAAATTATGTGTCTACTCATGTGAAATGACACCTTAATAAGTTTGGCATTTACCTGATCCTGATATTTTGTATAAGCCCTTTTGCATTTATATCCACGATCCTGATATTTTTCCTCCTATCTTGGACATGCAGCTTTCGGTGTTAGTATATTACACACTATAGGCTACATTTATTCAAGACAGGCAGCTCAAGAGCTTGGAAAGAGGGCCATTTATCTTGGCGTGCCATTTGTGGCTGAATGGTTTCGCAACAAGGGGCATTTTTGGAAGTCTCAGATAACAGCTGCAAAAGGCAGGAAGATCTCAAGCCTCCCAGCCTTACCTTCGTATCCTGCTTTATTTTTTTTGCTACCTAATCATATTGACTGTTTATATGTTTCCAGGTGCTTTTCAGTTGTTGCAACTTCAAGATGATGTTTGCCGGCAGTTTAAAATGGATGGTAGTGGCCCTGAAAATGATATTGAATCGCATATACGAGCGAATAAAGACACATTCCTGAATTCTTTGTGGAAGCTTAATGTAGTAGACATAGAATTGACTCTTATAAATGTGTGCCAGATGGTAGGCTCTCTCTTTCTTTTAAGTGAATATTTGGAAACTTATCAAAGTGTACAGGAAGTTGGCAGCACTTTGTAAATATACATTAGCTATACCAAAGGCATTTAAGACTTCGTATTAACTATCAGCTGAATTGATACTTTCATATTGAAGAAGATATATTCTTCTTAGGCATAGATAATGATTTTTTGTGTGTTTCAATTTGTAACCAGGTGCTACATGATAATACTGTTAAAAGGGAAGACCTAAAAGCTCGTGCTCTGGCCCTGAAGATACTTGGAAAAATATTCCAGGTTCAATCTGAAATCTGAGACATATTCACCATTTTTATGTTCATTGATTGCCAGAAACACCTTTACCATCATTCAAGTTTCTTTTCTTAGTCTTACTAAAATTTCCTCGATGCTCACAAGGAATTAGTGATGATGTCTTTTACTGGATAATGGCTCCTCCCTGGTGTCAAAGTCATATAGTATAAGATGCAATTTCTGATGCATTTTTTAATAATGGTGATGTAATGCAAAGAAACTCCAGTTTTAACGCAAAACGAATTCACGTCCTTTTCATCAGGAGAAAAATTCACAAAATGGTGGAACCTCAAAAAAGAAAAGTGCTGCTGCAGTAGATGACGATGGCACGAGTTCAGAGAGCAGCGATGATGAGGATCCCCAAAGACCACTGTCTTATCGAACTCCTTTTCTTACTCAGGCATGTAGATCAACTCTTCTCTCACTACTCAAAAGAATGCACTTCATCGCATGTAAACTCAAACGAAAAGGTTTGGCTAGTAACCAGATAATAACATATGGGTCAGAACCGAGCAAGAATTTTGTCTTTCTTTTTCAGCTCCTCTTCGTAAGTAACAAGTATGCTAGTCGAGCCGCTAAGTATTCTTCTGAAACGCTTATGACAAATAGGAGTACAATCAACTTACCTGAATGAGTAATCAACGTTTCAGACATCTGAAAGTGTGCTCAGCCTAATTTTTCGGAAGTAGGGAACAAAAGAGAGAGGAAGAGGGCAATCGTACCTCTCCATGCAATTAAAACGATAGTTAACTCCCTCAAGATAACCATTCACAAGTCTGTAAAATTCCAACAGAACATATCTCGACTGAAGGAAGACTATTTTTCTTTGCTTAATCTTTTGCACCCTTTGATGGAAAGTAGGTCACTGTTAAATCTGTATCATTTTTCATGTTGTGCAGGGTATAGGTAGACTCTTCAGATGCCTCTGTAACCCAGCATTTGATGTGGACGACGATGAAATTGTGTATAAAAGCAAATGATGAATATATATACAGATTCAAGAAGGTTTTATTCCCTTTGCGAAAAAAAAAGGTGGTTTTATTTCTTATCTTTCAACAAGCACAGAAAGGCTCAAGCCATCAATTGTGTTGATAAGTGATGTGGGATTTGGACTAAAATCAGTAATCTTCCTCCATTTTTTCATAAGTTGGTCATCATATAGAATTTGGACTTTACCCGTTACTGTTTATAGTTCATTATATATTACTTTCTCCAAAGGGTTGCAGATATAAAGGTTAACTTTTAGTATTCCTGAGATCAGTTTGTTTAACATTCTCCACTTTGTTTAACATGAAATGATATAGCAAATGAAGAACCAAATATCCAGACCATCCCAAGCTCCCAAGGGTACAGGCCACCAACTCAATAAAATGTATACTCACAGCTTCCTGTAGAAATTGCCTTGTGTTATGGGCAATCGCTCTTTTTTCTTTTCCAATTATTGGATACTCGTGCAGTTTTCCGTCCAGAAATCAACTTATGAAACTGATATATTTCAAGGCATTTCCACAACTAACCAAGCATGAGTTCAAAGAATATAGGCTTGGCATCCAATGTCCAGAAGGTACATATTTACAGATGTAAAGGGAGGGAAAACCGATAGCACAAAGTCCTCATAATGTTCCAATTCCTATTCTTCCGAGAAACAAGTACATATACACATCATGGTTTTCGGGTAAAAGGGTCGGGTCCTTTTGAGAAGGACCAATAATTTAAACTTAATCCCATGTTCAATGAGCCGGATGAGCAAAAGCAGTTGGAGCACGGTGGGCTTGGACTGCGCAGGCACAATGAACAGACATCAAATTTAGACAGCCACTCATTATGAGAGAATGGCGACCCGAGCAGGTGTGAAGAGCAGGAAACGAATCACAAACTGCTTGAACAGCAGGGGGCGTAAGAGCTGTGCATTGGCTGATGTTAAGTGTTCTAAGTCCATCGTCATCGTTCATGCCTTTCCCTGGTCCCCATTTTGTAGGCTTGTTCTTTATACAGCTATGTGCCAAAGAGTACATTGCTCTGTCTGTTATGTTCTGACAGTAGTAGAGGCCAAGGGACCTCAGGTGAGGGCACATATTTGACAAAGCAATCACACTATCATCTGCAGATGAGGCAACATGATCCACAATATTGAGGTACACTATTGTAACTAACAATTGTTGAACAAATATAGAAGTATTCTTTCCATCAGCTACAAAAGGGGAAGAAAAAACACAACCACAAGAGTTGTCTGAAGAGGCAGCTCTTCTGACCACACAAACAGATCCAACTATGAAAGACCTTTCCCTTTCTCAGACAGGGAGCTTTCTCCCATATGGAGATGAAACCCTCAAAAGATGGAAGTTCCCGTATCTGAGGAACTGACAATAGTTAAAAAGATCTGTCTCATACTTGAGACAAAGGAGTAGCTCAGTTCTAAAAAAGGCTGCTCCCTAGCAACAGGACAAGATCTCTTAAAGATGAGGTTAAGGGTTTTGGAACTTTGTTTGATATAAGTGATGATTGTGATTCTCAAATGAGATTCTATCTTCGCCCAACAAAGCCCCAAAAAATACCTATCACCGATTAAACACCCTAAACCGATCCTTTCCTAGCTTACATGTACCTTGACTGATATCCCAATATAACTGAGACCCTACAAGATTGGGCCAGTCCTAAGTAGATGACCGTCATAGGGTTCATTACCAGAGAAGATGCTATATCAATATGGTTGCCTTTCATGGGTCCATTGAAGAAAACTATGATTTTGTTTCAATCTTTCAACTTCATTCAGCAGGGGCCGTTGCTTAGCAATAAAAGCTAGCATTGTTGGAGGAAGACAAGGATTTTGATTTAATAGCGATCGGAGCTGGGGGGATGGGAAGTGAGTGAAGAACATATAAGGTTAACGATACTCTTTTCTAAGAGGGTCATGAACAAGGGGTGGTTTGACCTATTTGGAATCTGTAGTATATTGAAGCTTCAAAGTTCACTAATAGTGCATCTAGAAAAATATATCATAAATCAGACGGATAAACTCGACCAAACCAAAAGCTTCTTTGATCTTTCAGTGACTAAATACAAATTTGTTGCTTGAGTTAAGAGATGTACCCGTAATTAGGACACAGCCGCACAAGTCTAGGATTCGAAGATCAGGACATCCATATGCCAAACTCATCACACCCACATCGCTCACATTTTCACACCATCCAAGATTGACAGACTGCAAAAGATTACAGTAGTGTCCGATAGCCTGCACATAACATAACATGGAAGGTGATTACGCCAATCAACTTCACATAAGCTACAAATTTCTCAATTTGTACTTTGTACCTGCAATGCGGTGTCAGATGCAGCCTTGACACAGCCACAAAGATTAAGAACTTTTAACTTTCTGCAATAACTGGCCAGATAAGCCAGTGCAGTGTCACTGAATGCAGAACAACCACTAATATTAAGTTTTTTAAGATCACGGCAACCGTGAGCCAGGGCATATAGGGAGAGATCACTGAGCTTGAAACTTTTGCTCAGGTCCAGAACCTGCAGGTCATGACAGTAACTAGCAATGGTCTCAACAGCATCATCTGCAAGCTGGGGTTTATCCTGGCGCAAGATTAGAGTTTGCAGTTTTCCGAATTTAGGAGCAAGGGATAGGACCAAGTTGTTCATGTTCTTTTTGCACCTGAATAAAAAAGTTGACACCAACTAGCAATTAACTAAGGAGTCTAGTTATTTTTACGTCACAAAAGAAGTCCATCTGTATATCTTTACACTCCATTTCAATTAAAGCAGAGACTACTGAACAACTATCCTTGCTCAGTATTTATGTTGGTAAAACAAGTTCACAAATAAAATACTTCTAACAAGTTCCGAGGTGATCATCACTGATCATAAAAATGTGCTTGAGTTAGCATACGATGTTTTACCACTGAAAGGTACAAGAGCTTAATGTGTTGTGGCCTACATAATATCAAAATAGCTGTAATTCAGTAAACATACGAAGGTCTAAAAGTAAATGTCGAAGCTATACTTACAAAATAACAGTCATAAGTTTGTAGCTAGAAAAATCAAGCTTGCACCGTTCCTGATATGTTTATGATTTATAAGTTAACCTCCAAAAACAGAGTTAACACATAGCAATGAGAAAATTGAAAAGTCATATCTTAGAATTATGTAACGTCATTGATCTTCTCTTAATAAAGAATCATGCAAAGATTTAAACACAAAATTAGCTGGAAAAGATTAGGTTTGACCATAGTAATAAACTGAAGTAATAATGCTCACTCAATGCCTCAAAAAAGTGGCAGAGAAACAGATCATTTCAATTTGATTACTTCAAACAGGATAAAACTCGGGTATTTTCCCAACATGTTTTTTATAATTTTTTTCCCATATTTGTGAGTGCCTGGGCCTGGTGCACCAGAACTAATCTCATAGAGCAATTTTTTTACCGTCCTACATTTGGTATTGCCAAGGAAACTCAGGAGTAGAATATAGATAAAAAAATTACAGCCTAAAAGGCCAGGGATGAGAAGGCCAGCCCCCACAAAAAAAAAAACCTAAAAAAGGACTACTTTCCAGTACCATATAAGCATCGTAAGACTGTAATTAAAAAAAAAGTCGTGTGATTTAAACTCATAGGATACTAAATCCTAGGTGGGTGGACCCGATAGTTTGAACTCATTCCCTCTGACTTTCTTTTCCGATAGCACACATGATGCCTAGGTCAACCTATTGTAACCATGTGGTTAACATGTTTCTTATAATTTCTTTCTCATTACCACGGAATTACATCATTTATCAGGATACAAGGAGAGAAACTGCTTAAAGGGGATGCTAGATTTATGATTGAGGTCAAAACCAAAACCCAAGTTCTCCCATTCCCAGTAATAAGGTGATTTCTTCTTCAGCATATAAAATCAAAGGCAAACAGATCCGATCATCTATATCCCTTCCCATCCCACCAAATCTTCATAGAAACTTTTGTGACCACTTGAGGAAATAAGCAATACAAGCACTCATAAATAAAGTACTAATAAAACAAAAAGAAACGAGTCCAATTCAAATTCATCATATAAAACAATATAAAACAATAACAGAAGGAGAAAATCAATATAAACCAGAAACCCAACAACTCAGAAGCCTGGAAGAAACTACAAATGCCTGAAATCTTTTCTCTTAATAAAATTCGAAATAGAAGGAAAGGGGCTCAAGGCAGATGAGAAAGTACCATGAGAAAGAAAGATGGATGAGGCCAAGGCAAATAGCATCCCTCCATCCACGACACACGCCTGAAGCCACAATAACAGTGCGATCATCAACAAGCGACACAATTTGCAACAAAAGCTCCATGGGAATGTCCTTCCATCCGGCTACCACCCCACCCTCCATTTTTACTCCTTTAGCACCAACATCGATTCCATCACCACCACCAGCAACCATCATTAGCTTCTCAAAGCACAAGTTCAAGTCCTCGTTCCTCAAGATTTCTTTACCGATACCGACCATTTCACTTAAATCCCCACAACCCCTTTTCTAGAACTTATCAGACAAGCCTGAAAAGTGCAGAAATTCCTCGCTTCTGTCGCCTGAGTCTGAGAGAAAGAAAGACAATAGGATGAACAAATAAGAGACAATAAGCGAAACCCATGGGTGGTATAACAGGTTAAGGTTATTACAACAATGATTCTCGACTCTCCTTTGAAAGAGAAAAGGAAGAGCAGAAAACAGAGTGACCCACTTCATCAAGTCTCGTTCTGCTCAGACCCCCAAAAACAAATACCCAGAAGACGTCGAATTTGAGGGAGGAAGCAAGAAGTGGAAGTAAAGGGAAGATCGAGGAAAGAAAAGGGAATCGTCAGAAGAAGTAGAAATCACAGAAAAACAACTAAAAACACAGGTCCACCCAGCAAAATTAATCTTTGGATCAAAAGAAGGATTACAAGTAATTAATTACCTCGGACCGCTTTGTAGATGAATAAATGAAATTCCTCCAAGGGGGTGATGAGAAAGATGGAGAACCGAAACCGAAGAGGGCCTATAAAACACACGAAACAGAGAGGAAGCGTTAGAAATTGGGAGGGAGCACAGAAAACGTCCGGTGGCAAAGAACGAGCAATGCAGATTGCGCCACGTGTAAAGCATCGTGCGTGCGTGTGAGGATGGGCTTCGGAGTTTCAATGGGGCCCACTTAATTTTTGCGTAGGGACTACAAATATTCATTATTGAGTTAAATTGTTATTTTTTCTATTATTCTAAATAATTTTTATTTTTTAATTTATATTTTTGGGAACAGAGTCTGCGTTCCCTTTGTGTGTAGAAGATTCTATGTGTTAAAAACCGAAACCGCATTTTCCCAACAAAAGAAAAAAAGGAAAAAAAAAGAAAAGAAAAGAAAAACCGAAACCCCACTCAAAAGCAATTCCTTTTCCATTTCATCCACAACTAAAATGACCTTTTTGCCAACAAAAAATAAATACTATTCCAGAAATGCCTTAAAACATACAAAGTGGTGAAATGATGGTATTGGTAATTGGTCGAATCTGTTGGACAATAAAGGACAAAATAGGAACCAGGAGGTAAAAAACGTTGTGCCGTAGGCGGAACCACTACCTTGAAAGCAAAATCGGCACGACCTCAGTGCTAAATCGTTTTACTGCCGGTATGCTCCCCAAGGTTAACACAACCTCCAATTCAGACGTGCACTCGTCGAAATAGGAGTGRAATCAATCTCGTGCTCAGTTAAGATAGTTGAGAGAGGTGGAAAAGTGAATGAATTGAGTGGAGATTGAGATGAATGAGATGATCTGAAATGGAAAGGGGTGAGCTTTTTATAGTGACGTGGTAGCCCAAAATAGAATTGAATTTTTAAAAAATAAAAAATAAAAAWTTATTTTGGCCACCCATGTGTCTTTTGAATTGCTTGAATTTCTCATTCAACGTTCAACTATCTACATATCCAACAATTCCTCAATCAGGCTCGAGCCCGACGACGGCGCACGTGTGGGCCTTGGTCTTGGCTTTCCTCACACCAAGTTTATAAGCCCAATACTGAGTCAATGCTTATAAACCA